ATCCATTTATTGTACTGTATATTTATTCTCAGCTACCGATCTGAGTGTTCAAGAAGTCTAATTAAAGAAAAATTTGCACTCTTCAGTAGGAATTGTACCTGAATCCCTCAGGGCAGATGTAGCTACCGTTTAACCATGTACAACTTATTGCTTTGCTATGAAGAACAGTAGGTCAGGCAAAGCCAATTTCATGCTTTCAAGTGAAATGTGTGTATATATATATATATATATATATATATATATATATATATATATATATATATATATATATATGTGTGTGTGTATGTATTATTTTATCTCTTAAAGCAGTATATATTTCCTTATTAATCTTTTGTCGAGTGCACAAAACAAACCACAAATCCATAATACACACTGTTTAAAATAAACAGAATGACTATTTCTAACGCCTCGATCATCTAAAGAAAACATCTGAAGTGATAAAATTGTTAGATGAAAAATAAATCCATTAATTCTATATATATATATATATATATATATATATATATCTGTAGGTGTAGTAGACCAATCAAAGAAATTTGAAAGAACAGAATAATAATAATAATATTTATTTGAAGTCATTATTAGGCCATTAGACAAAATAGAAACATTACAAAATGTTAAGAATCAGAATTTTTGGACATGCCTATGTCCTTTCTCAAGGAAAAATAAAAAAAACAAATATATATATATATATATATATATATATATAAGATTGGTGTATACAGAATAAATTCCAATAACAAAAAAATACTATTCTTAAATGAGTGCTCAAAAACAGAGTTGAGCAAATATAATTTATTCGAAAATTATAACAAATATGTTCACTACAAAATAGCCATTTTTTTTTTCATCACTCCTGGTGTCTTATCAAGTGATAGTGTTGAATGTAGAATAAACAGTTTTAAAATGTTCAAATCAACCAAACGCCCCTTGATAGCGAAAACGCTGTTACATAAGCTGCAATGGCCAACCAAAATACAAGTATATGAGAATTCAAAACCTTGACAACGAACCTTGATTATAATCGTTAATGCCTTAATGTTAAGATTAGGCTAAAACAGAAATCATTCTAACTGATTAATATTAAATAAAGTTTAAAATATTATAAAATTATTGAAAGAAGAAACTGAGGTAAAAATACATATATTTTATTATTTATTTTGCTTTAATTGAAAGGCCAAAAATCCAGTTAGAATAAACGTTAATCTAATGGAAAGGCAAAACTTTGTTATAACACTTAGATACATTTGAAATCGTGATATTGACAGGGAAGGATGAAATCTTGCAAAAGACAATACATAAACAATCAGATAAGAATACACAAATACGTAGACATATTTAGATATATAAACACGCAAAAATATGAACGAAACAGGAAATTCAGGTCATGCACATAGTCACAAAAGCTGATTTTTAAAATTTTATGTCGTAAATGAAATTCCTTGTGGTTGAATTATTATAATTGTGAATATGCTTGTGAACATATCATAAATTTCATAATTTTAAAAATTTTAATGCAAGGGAGGTAACTTAGTTGAAATATTAATAAAAAGTTATTAGGTTGGTGCAAAAATAATGACGTAATAATGTCGTTTTTGACCTTAAAAAATACCTCAAAAAACGACATTATTACGTCATTATTTTTGCACCAACCTAATTTATTTGTTTATATATATATATATATATATATATATATATATATATATATATATATATATATAGGTATATGTATATATGTGCAAACAGCAAAATACAGACATCCCCAACGACCAAAAACAGACATTCTTACTCTTCAGTATTGTTGTGAAGATTCAAGATGTAATCTAATTTTTTTTTGCATCTTCCCCGACCCTCAAGATAGTTACCCCACCCAAAAGTTTGATATTTTCCAGTCTGAAATGCCTACTGGATACAATGTTTGCTTCACTGTATTCAACCCAGACTGTCTCCTACTACACAAGTAAATGTGAATTTTTCTTTTTTCATTTTGGTATTAAGGAAAATGTTAGCTGTATACCAGCAAGGTTTTTGGCATTGTCTTGTTTAAAACTGTTGTCGGATCAATGCCAAAGTGAATTAATCACAAGAATTGTTAACTTACAAAGTTACATGTATCAGTGCAAGATAAGTATAAAAGAAACCTGTTTGAGATATTTCTTGACACTGCAGTGAAACACTCCTATTTCAGAGGGATTTTTTCCATCTTAAACTTTCTTCAAAGATTTATAAATTCACTGACCTGAAAGAAAAAAGAAAAAGAAAAATATTTAATTATTTTTTTTAAACTGTTTCATTGGCATAACATTAAGCTCAGTTTATAAAATCTAATATTTTTATCAAATATTCTACAGAATTACATTATAGAAAAAAATGTTAAAAATGAAAAAAGCAAAAACTGTTACATTATACAAAGAGAAAAAAAAACAGCAATAAAAAAATAGAATCTTTCTCCTTTTACTATTTTACTGTTTCTATCAGTCTATATCCTGTTATCCATTTCTTCTTTTACATGTTATGTCCCTTCAGGATGTGGGACGTCATGGCTCTCCACAAATTCCTATCTTTTGTAGCTCTAAGCAAATATTTTTGTCTTTACTATCCCTCTCAGTTGCTGTCTTGCTATCTTTTTTTTCTTCTTTTATGACCATACCCCTTCAGGATGTGTCTGATCAGGGCTCTTCACAACTTCCTATCATTTGAGACTGACAGATTTATATTCTGTTAATTTTTTCTGATCTTAACAAGCAGCTTATTGATATTCTCAATGGCTAATAAGAAAGAACATACATTCTTAATAATTTGCCTTTGGCCATCCGTCTTTCACTATTTCAATGCACCTTTGGATTTCTGTGTCCCAGTTTCCATCGTCTGTTAGAAAACTTCCCATATAGATAAATGTATGTACTTGCCTGATTCTGACATCTCCAATTTGTAACCTGAATCTTAGGCTGTCCCTTTCACTAACAACCACATGTGGGGCTAATGACAAAAAATACTAATGTCACCTGAGTATTTGGTGCTACCTCAGATTCCAAGGATTGACGCTAGCCTCCTCCTAGAAGAGAAGTTCTGCTTGTAGTGACGGCCACATGGGCTCAAGTACATTTTACTAAGTTTAACCATATTTGGGTTCTTGCATTAAAATGCCAAGTAAATACCTGTATATAGCTATTCAAAAAAAAATTATAGTCAATTACCAAGAAACACATATCTTTTTGGATACAATGATGACATGTTTGTCTATATCTCTGTGGTGAAGTATTATGATTATTTACGTTATTTACATATTTTGGACTGTTATCCTCATCTCCATTGCCATATTCACAATGTTTCAGCCGTTTTACGCACATGGCCAAGTGGATAAAGGTGTGGGTTGGATCCAGTGACTAGCTCCAAAGAGTTGGGAGTTCAATACCAGGTTATAGCAGTGGTGAATCAAAAAAGGGAAATAACTAGGATATCTGGAAGAGCCATGGCATATGGAACTAGAACAATATACCTTGGTGAACGAAATAAAGGGTTTGGTCCAACATTCCAATCACCTGAAGAAGGCCGGAGCATACAACAGCCAAAACACACATGGCCAAGTGGATAAAGGCATTGGTTAGATCCCGTGACTAGACGCAAAGAGTTGTGAGGCTATAGCAGTGGTAAACCAAAAAATGAAAATAACAGGGATATCTGGAAGAGCCATGGCACATGGAACTAGAACAATATACCTCGGTGGACGAAATGAAGGGTTTGGTTCAAAATTCCAATCACTTGAATAAGGCTAGAGCATATAACATCAAAACATTGTGAATATGGCAATGAAGATGAGGATAACAGTCCGATAATGTAAATAATTGTAAATGAGTCTTGTAACTCACTTAACTTCTTAGAGGCACGAAAGCTATAGCAGTAGTGGTGATTCTTGGGCAAGACTGATGGAGACAAACCTCTCCAGGCTGGTACGTATTAAGTTTTCCTTCTTCTAGACTGGTTGCCAGTCAAGGCTAGAGAGTTCAGTCTTTCTATTTATCCATAGCTAAGATAGAAGAGATTTAGTCAGGCTTTTCCCAAAGTGAATGGAACAAACGAGACTGGAATTGGAATTCAGCTCTCCATTTTCTTATTATGAGCTTCTATTCATTACAACACCCACATTTTTATAGTTTGTGGTTGCCCTGTCAGCTGGGGCTTCAAAATACACTGACTGCACATCTGCAGTAGGGTAAACCCCCCCCCACAAACACACACCAATGAGGTGTCCTGGGTATGACGATAAACTACATCTGACAGCAAGGCCTCTGATCAGGAGGTTTTGAGGAGCGTGGAACCACCTCTTAATTGCTGATGTCCCCAGGTCCACCCTGTTAGCATCTGTTAGGGTCCCAGCTATGGGCAAATAGATAACCCCCAATCTGGAGCAAACACTATGAAAGTGTAGAAATAGATTTTAATCCCAGTAATATTTTTGGAAAAATAAATTATTACCAGCAATACATTTTTGAAAAAAAAAATATTCCCAGCAAAAAAAATCTTGTTCACATTAAATAACCAATTAAGGTTGATATGTCGTAAAACCAAACAAACCAAACAACACCCTCACATGCATCTTTTTGAATATCATCTGCCAGATGATAATTTATAATATCTTTAATTAATATTAATTAGTATTAAATAAACAATTTGTTTTCTTAGTTTTATAGTTGAAGTAAAATTTTTTAAATCCTTTATAAAAACATTTTCTTACTGTTATTACTATTAACGATCTAAATCATTACTATCATCATTATTTTGTTTTACATAGCAGAAATCAGTGATTTACTATAAATGAATTGAAATTGGACATCTAAATTAATTAAATTTGCTAATTAAATTGACATGGTTAATTGATTACACTCAAAAGAAGAGAAAGTGTTGAGAATCTCCTTGGGGTAAAGAGAAAAAACAAATGAGACAGAATTGATGAGGTAGAGAGAAAGATCAGGGAGAGAGGTAAGGAGAAAGGAGGAGAGTTAGAGAGAAATATCAGGGAGAAAAAGGATGTGTAGAAAGAAAGAGTGAGAGTGGAGATATATAGTGAGAGGAGAGGTAGAGAGAAAGATTGGGAAGAGAGAGGTTAAAAAGAAAGATAAAAAAAGAGGAAAGGTATAGAGAAATATGGAGAGAAAGAGAAAAATCAGAGGGAGAGAAAAAGGAGGTTTAAAGAGAAAGATTGGGGGAGAGAGAGAGAGATGAGTGGTAAAGAGAAAGATAAGAAGTAAAGAGAAAGAGGAGAAAGATAAGAAGTAAAGAGAAAGAGGAGAAAGATAAGAAGTAAAGAGAAAGAGGAGAAAGATAAGAAGTAAAGAGAAAGAGGAGAAAGATAAGAAGTAAAGAGAAAGAGGAGAAAGATAAAAAGTAAAGAGAAAGAGGAGAAAGATAAGAAGTAAAGAGAAAGAGGAGAAAGATAAGAAGTAAAGAGAAAGAGGAGAAACGAGGTGTAAAGAGAAAGAGGAGAAACGAGGTGTAAAGAGAAAGAGGAGAAACGAGGTGTAAAGAGAAAGAGGAGAAACGAGGTGTAAAGAGAAAGAGGAGAAACGAGGTGTAAAGAGAAAGAGGAGAAACGAGGTGTAAAGAGAAAGAGGAGAAACGAGGTGTAAAGAGAAAGAGGAGAAAGGAGGTGTAAAGAGAAAGAGGAGAAAGGAGGTGTAAAGAGAAAGAGGAGAAAGGAGGTGTAAAGAGAAAGAGGAGAAAGGAGGTGTAAAGAGAAAGATCATGGGAGAGAGAGAAAAATCATAATGTATGAGAGTGGCAATAAGAAAATAGCAAAAAAATATTCAAACAGAAAAATATATAAAGACAAGTATTTGTATCAGTCACACACTCAAAAACTTTCTTCGTTCTATTGACACTATTATCAAATTTTAATAACATCTTTCAGATGTCCAATAACTAATTATTACAAAGGAATTAAAAAAAATGAAGTATTCAATAGATAAAAGGGAACAGTTACACCATGATTAATTTGCAAGAAGATGGGTGGAGTCTAGCTGAAGTTTGAAAATCTGGGATTTTTAAAAAAAAATCATTTCACCCCAAGCAAGGCAGTAAAGCCACTAGGATGCAAGAGGTTACTGATTGTCAGAGAATATGAGAAAAACTACTATTAAGGAGAGAGGACAATAAAAAGACAAGAATTAAGAAGACAGAAGATAATGATTGACATTGCATTTAAATTTTTGAAGATCAAAGGCAATAAAGCCACTAGGATGCAAGAGGTTACTGAGTGTCAGAGAATATGAAAAACTACTATTAAGGAGAGAGGACAATAAAAAAGACAAGGATTAAGAAGACAGAAGATAATGATTGACATTGCATTTAAATTTTTGAAGATCAAAGGCAATAAAGCCACTAGGATGCAAGAGGTTACTGAGTGTCAGAGAATATGAGAAAACTACTATTAAGGAGAGAGGACAATAAAAGACAAGGATTAAGAAGACAGAAGATAATGATTGACATTGCATTTAAATTTTGAAGATCAAAGGCAATAAAGCCACTAGGATGCAAGAGGTTACTGAGTGTCAGAGAATATGAGAAAAACTACTATTAAGGAGAGAGGACAATAAAAAGACAAGGATTAAGAAGACAGAAGATAATGATTGACATTGCATTTAAATTTTTGAAGATCAAAGGCAATAAAGCCACTAGGATGCAAGAGGTTACTGAGTGTCAGAGAATATGAGAAAAACTACTATTAAGGAGAGAGGACAATAAAAAGACAAGGATTAAGAAGACAGAAGATAATGATTGACATTGCATTTAAATTTTTGGAGATCAAAATTAACTGGGAAACAAAAAACCGGAAGAGAGAAATGCGAGAGAAGAAACTGTTAGCATAGAACTTACAGTTACATCTAGCCATTTAAACTGTCGATTGATGTGACATGGCCATCAATCTAGTACTGTTTAAAATTCATGAAGTCAATGAAATAAAATAAATTCTGCCATGCTTATTTCTTTAGCTCAAAATATCTGATATTAGTCATTGAGAATTGCATACAAAATAGATGAGTAGTGATCCACTCTCCCTCTTTCTTCTCTTTTGACTCCTTTTAGTCATGAGGTTCCTTTTTTTTTCTTTTTTTTTTTTTTTTATTAAGCTGTCAGCAGAGAATGACAACACATCCATGACACAGGATGCAATTTCCACAGACAGGATACATTGCATCATCTTGAAAGAGATCCCCAACAAGTGAACTGGGTCTGGACTATACATACAGTTACCTATTTTTCTTTGTATCATAAATGCCTGTTAGGACTTATACTCAACCCTGACATCAAGTGGAACTCATATATATGATCCATTATTAAAGATGCTGAAAAAATGGTCTGTTCCCTATACCACTCCAGTATGTACCTGACTTCTCATGCTATCTTCTACCTTTACAAGAGCCAGATCCAGCCAAAAATGGAGTACTGCTGCCATACATGGGCAGGAGCTGTCCAGTCTTCACTTTCCAGCCTCTATAGAGTGTCTCTGCATGCTTGTGGGTGACAAATTATTTTCCATTCTACAACCTCTTTCCCACAGACAAAAAGTCACAAGCCTCTTGTTGTTATCTTACTATTTCCATTGAAAGTGCTCAGACAAACTATATTCTTTAGTTCTGCCAGTTCTAAACTTCAAGGCTAAAAACCGCCATGCTATGTTATGCAAATTTGTAGCAAACCAGCCTGATTCCACTCAAGCAGCAGCTTCTCACAAAGCAAATGCTTTGTGGGACCAACTTCCAAGAAGTCAAGAGGATGCTTCCCCAATCACTACAATCTTCAGTCTAGGGTCGACTGTTATCTTCCCCACATATCTCCATAAACTGTCTCACTCACTCTGCAATCATCTACTTCACGTGGCTCTTGGGTCCTCTTCAGAGTGAAAATCTTTGTAAAAAGAAAAAAATTTTAGGTGTTAGTTAATGAAAGTTTACAGGTTGATTTTTAGATTTATTGATAATATTTTACATATATTTACAATTCCAAATGTAGACCTTTTACTTTCACTATAGCCCTTAATTTCTTCTCAACTGAAGTGTGTAACTATCTTTGCCCAAATTATATGACATCAGACAAGATTCTTTCAGATCTGAGACAATTGAGCATGAGCTTCAATATAGGTCATATCACAAAGTCCATAGGGTTAATGTCAGGGCTTGATGGAGATCACATTGATTTGCCAAGACAGCAATGAAAATGTCTTTTGGACCAATTCTGCATCAAACTGGCTGTATATGCAGAAGCTCTATCTTCAGTGAAGACATAGCGACTACTTAAATGTTGCTGGCAACCAGAGTAATACATCTCTCTCCCCAAAATTTGCTGGGAAACTCTTCTATTCCCTATCCATCCTTTTTTAATGATCACCAAGGGAAATTTCGAATCATCAAAAGCAATAGCAGCCCAAACCATGACACTAGATGGTTTCTGCCACTTGAAATGTGTTCCCACACCTCCAGGTATATTTCCTGGTGAAGTGGTGTGAACACTATCATTTTGATAGTCAACCACAGCCTCCACAGTGAAAAAATTCTCATCTGCCCAAACAAAAACTTTGTCTACAGCTCACTGCATTCCAACATTGTCTTCCATCTTCTAAGCCATTTTTGCTTGGACGCATTTGAGTTGTCATTGATTCTTTTCTGGTTTTAGCCCAAAATCTTCCTTCACAGTCCTCTTCAGTGATCTATCTGAAATATCCAATTATTTTGCCATATTCCACATACTTCCTTGTGGACTACATTCTCTTCTTGATGGTTCCAGTAACTCTCCTGATACGAACTGTAACTGGATTTGGTGACGTTGTTTACTACTCTTGAATTTTTTTCTGTACCTTAAAAACAGTTTGTTTGCTAACATTCAACTGTTTTATCACCTCACAATTCTTTATACAAGGCATGCAGCAATTGGATCATATTCTGTTTGAACCAAAACATTTGCCAAACTCTCTCTTGCAATTGATGTGGAAAATCATTCCTATCCTTTATCCGGCTTACTATCTGGATAACTCTCTCAAATGTCCTTTACAAAAGACCAGCCATAATATTTTTGTGGGTATGAATGAAAAGGGAAAGCAACTTTTTATTTCTTAACTTTCCAGAAATCTTAATGCAGTTTTTTTTTAAAAGAAAATGTTTTTTTATGGCTCTAGGGTTGAACATTATGGCATTACGATTTAAACAGTATCTTTGACAAGCTAATGAACCAACACATATCAACCAGAGGGCTGAACAACTAAATGACAAAGTTCTTTATGTTACCTGTATGTTGTATGGATGAATATCTACCACTTCATCTGATTGAATACTTCACCTGCCATGAGACATGAATCTTTCATGCACTTAGGCATTTGCCTGATTAATGGAAAATAAATCTGGATTGTGTAAAGACAACAGGGAAAAAAGGGGGGATGAAAAAAAAAGAAAGAAAAAAGAGGAAGTTAGACCAAGAGAGATAAAGGAAAAGAATAGAAGAAAAAGGTCTTAGAGAGGGAGAGAAGAAAAAGGTCTAAGAGAGAGAGAGAAGAAAAAGGTCTAAGAGAGAGAGAGAGAGAGGGAGAGAAGAAAAAGGTCTAAGAGAGAGAGAGAGGGAGAGAAGAAAAAGGTCTAAGAGGGAGAGAGAGGGAGAGAAGAAAAAGGTCTAAGAGGGAGAGAAGAAAAAGGTCATAGAGAGAGAGAAGGAAAAGGTCATAGAGAGAGGGAGAGAAGGAAAAGGTCATAGAGAGAGGGAGAGAAGGAAAAGGTCATAGAGAGAGGGAGAGAAGGAAAAGGTCTTAGAGAGAGGGAGAGAAGGAAAAGGTCTTAGAGAGAGAGGGGAGAAAAGAAAAGGTCTTAGAGAGAGAGGGGAGAAAAGAAAAGGTCTTAGAGAGAGAGGGGAGAAAAGAAAAGGTCTTAGAGAGGGAGAGAAGAAAAGGTGTAAGAGAGGGAGAGAAGAAAAGGTCTTAGAGAGGGAAAGAAGAAAAAGTGTAAGAGAGGGAGAGAAGAAAAGGTGTAAGAGAGGGAGAGAAGAAAAGGTGATATGAGAGGTAAAGAAAGAGAGAGAGAGAAAAAATTAAAAGAGTAATAGAGATTTTATAGGAGAGAGTGAAAGAGAGGGAGAGAAGAAAAGGTGTAAGAGAGAGAGAGGGAGAGATGAAAAGGTCTAAGAGGGAGAGAGGGAGAGAAGAAAAGGTCTAAGAGGGAGAGAAGAAAAAGGTCCAAGAGAGAGAGAGGGAGAGAAGAAAAAGGTATTAGAGAGAGAGGGAGAGAAGAAAAAAGTTTTAGAGGGAGAGGGAGAGAAGAAAAAGGTATTAGAGAGAGGGGCAGAAAAAAAAAAGGGAGAGAGATGAACCAAGACTAGAAAAGGAGTTGAGCAATAGACAATGAGGATGAATGTTGAGAGAGAAAACATCAAGAAACAGAGAGACACCAAACAGAAGAGATGAAAAAGAAAAAAAAAAACTAAGAAACACAAGGATGGAAAGAGAGAATAGTGAAGTAAAGAGAAAAAGAGAAGCAGTACAGAGAAAGAATAGGGAGAGAGATAAGAGGAAAGGAAAAAATTGGGGAGAGAGATAAGAGGTAAGAAGAAAAATGGTGGGGGAAGAGATATGAGAGGTAAAGAAAGAGAGAGAGAGAAAAAATTAAAAGAGTAATAGAGATTTTATAGGAGAGAGTGAAAGAGATTAGTCAAAAGCAGAGAGAGAAGAAGTAAAGAGAAAGAGACGTAGTAGAGAGAAGGGTCAGAG